AAATACAACGCTTACACACACACACAGGTACACACAAACACACACGCAGACGCAGGACCTGGCTTTTGGTCAGGACGACAGAGGTCCGTTGAAAGGGATGGAAATGGAATGGTAAATGGGGGGAGTGACTGCCTGCCTGCCAGTGGTATCCAATTCAAAAATTTCGCAAACCAACCGGGCGGAATCGGCAAGGACGACAGAACGCCACCCGGACTGTTCGTCCTGTTTCACTCATTTTTTTTTTCATTTCTTCTTCCGCTGGGCGGCGTCCACCGAAGCGCATCATCAACAAGAAACACACACACACCCACGCACACACACACATGTGAGCGGTCCAAAAAGGACCCCAACAGAAAGAATACACAGAAGGGAAATTCTATTATGTTTAAAGTGAAATTTTCGAATATATTTTTATTCAGTTTGTAAAATGTTGTCCCTTTCTTATAAAATTAATTAATTATTGTATGTTCTTAAATATTTTATTAGTTAATTTTGTATAATAACTTTTTTTATTTTAATTTGTTTTAGACAATATTTAATATAATTTGTTCAGTGCAATCTTTCAGCATCCACTGCAGGTGGTTTCGATTCGCTGGCTTAGTGGCATATTGCGCTGACACTGGAGCTTCACTATTTGCCTGCTGGGTCGTCCTGCCTCTTGACCAGTTATCCCTTCGAGGGCCCTTCCTCCCCTGCTCCCAACTTTTGACACCCTCGATGTGTCAGGCAGTCAATCAGAGGTCCATGCAGATCCTGATTTACGCAGGTGAGCTGCCATGGGCATTGTTATTCTTGTGGCCAGGACATTTTATGTGGGTCCCATATGTATCACGTAGTTTCTGTGTGTTGGTGTGTGTGTGTGTGTCCTCGTGCACTATGTAACCGCCTTTATTTACATAGGCATTGGGCCGTGGTGGATGGAAATCGGATTGTTTTTTGCGTGCCAGCCATAATGTGTTTACTTGGACAAATATTTTGCGCAGTCTGTGGCTTAAGTTGGTCAATGGAGTGGAGTTGAGCAACTTCGAATTCGATGATCTGACAGGCCACATCAGCAATTGAGGATTTTAAAGGAAGGCATGGAATTTTATTTGGAAATATCAGAAAAGTTGAGCAGAAAAATCTATACAAGTTTCACCAAGAATTACCTTATTTTAAAGTAGATTACAAGTTGTGTTTGTTCCCCAATGGGAATCCCTTTTTGCCCCACACTGATGCTCTTTAATTGCGAATCGTTTTGGCCCAATCGATTTAGCATTGTTCTACGCAGGTGGGCAATGTTCTTAAGGATATGCGATTGGGATACCAACTGGAATGGTGGAACAACAAAGGCTCCCAGGGAAATCGCCAACTTGCATTTGTCGCCTGGCAGGAGCAGAAATAAAAGGATGTTTAGTATGGAATGGGCAGAGGAAAGAGGAGCTCAAGCAAAAGCTGTCGGACTGCCAAGGCTCTTGTCGCAGGACTCGCGGTGCCGTCGTTTTCGAATGATATGATGCGTGCCTCATGTGTATCTGTATATATATACATATATCATATATACCCACATGATATATATATAAATATATATGTGTTCTCAGGTTGTTTTTTGGAGCGTGTGGCTCTGTTGTTGTTTTGACAACAGGCGAGACAAAAGGAGCAGGACACCAAGGACCATGGACCAGGGTCCTGGGACCATCGAGCATGGAGCATGGAGCGTGGAGCGTGGCAAGTGGTTGGCGGGGAGCTTGGAATATTTAACAGGAAGAAACCAATAAAACCTAATGATATGAAAAAATGCAATTTTCTAAAACTCGAACGAACGCTCACCAACACACGTAAAAAAAAAATGAAAGGGGAGCGGAAGCACACACACTACTTTCGTCCTGTCGCGTCTTAAGGTCTGTTTACACTACCATTGCAGCTATTCAATGAAAAGTAATCTTTGCATATAAGTAAAAATATTGTAAAATATTCTTTATCTCTTTAACTCTATAAGTGAGTTGATAAATACATAACCATGAGTCTGATTACATACTAGCTTACATAGTAGTTGAAACTATTAAAAAATATATTTAAATTATGAAAGGCTTTAATATAAAAAACATTTATGTATTTCCTAATTTTATTCTAGTAGTTAACATTCTTGTCTAAACAGTTCTTAACTTTGATTTTCCGCTTCAAAAATCACAAACATCCAAAGCAGCGGCGGCGTGTGTCTTTGGCCAACTCGTGCTTCGTCCTTACCTCCTGCTTTACCGCATCCACAGTCCCTTATATTTTGTTTTTTTTTTGTCAGAGCTCCTCTTTCGATTGTCCCCTGTTGTCATATGTGAAGTTCTTCGCTTCGCGTTTGTGGATTTTATATTACCGACAAGACAAGGCAAAAAATTGAAACGCGAACTTGGCTTCAAAAGGAATTTCTTTGTGGGATGTGGGGCATGGGGCATGGGTTAGGCTTATGCTCAAATGATAGACAACGAGAAAACATAAACATGGCACCCAACACTTGTCCACTGGCCTGGCAAATGGATTGAGAAACGGTATTAACCCCCCTCTTCTTGGGAAAACCATCCCCTGCCCAGTATTCTACATAAATGACAATGTATTACCGCTAAACGAAGGCGGGCAGCGGCCAGAAGATAGCAGACATGTAAGCAATTTTCCAAAGTACTTAGTCAGCAATTTTTACCCCTTTTTTCTTCGTTTTCTGGGTGGAACCCTCAACCCCTTTCCCACCCATCCACTGCTTCAGCCCCACCCTTTGACCTCTCCCACGGTGACCACACACATCTCAAAAAAAAAAAAAAAAAAGAGAGCTGAGAAGAGAGCAGGGGGAAAAGGCGCCCACGCATGGCTCACTGGAGATACCAGGGGTTATGTTATGTCCTGTCACTGGCTACAAGGATAGCGATAAGCCAGCCACACCCACATTGGCCACACCGACCGTCGCCCATTCCTCCCCTTCAGGCCACCCAGCCATCTTGCAGAAAAACATTTTTTTCGCTAGCGGTTCACATTTATTTATTTCCATTTTTTTAACACATATTAAGCCGCAAAAATATTGCCTGTCCTTTCCATTTCTTTCTTTTTTTTTTGGGGTGGTGGTCCAGAATTTGCAAAAGACGCAAAAAGTAGTGAAACGAGAGAAGGCCTAAGGGAGGTGTTTGAGGTACACTTAAGAAAATAATAAGTAAATAAGGAAAGTTAACATTAAAATCGCAATTTTTGGGGTATAATTACGAATTTTTTATTCAAAATAATTTTGAAAAATCAAAATATTCAAATAGGTCTTAAGAATTATTTAAATTATAAAGATATATTATTTAATACTCAAGAAACAACATTAAATTACTATTTATTCTTATGGTAATTTCTTTCCGTGTAAAAGGAGAAGGCCAATTGGGTACTGGGAATATGCTAGCTGGTCGTCTAATTCAGTCGATAGCCATTCATTGGAAACTCTTGATTGATGCTCTGGCCTTGTCTGCAGTTCGTTGATAAGCGGCAAAGACTATGCGTCGCATAACCCCATACAGTCCCTGTCCGCCAGCAAGCCACTCCCCCTAACCCCCTCATCATGAGCCATGTAAATGTAACCAGGCTGATTTTTACAATTGCTTGAGATTCAATTTTTCACTTTACATATTTCATGGATTAGACGACTTCAACGGTGGGTTTTTTTCCATTCAGGGGGTGGAGCGGATGTTGTTGCGATGGATATGGAAACTAGCATAAATGGAAATTGGTTTGCCGGGGGTTAAGCCAAAGGGATAGCTTTTGAAGTTGGCTTTTTTATCCTTTCTACCTTGTTTTCTCCTCATATTAAATAATAAATTCATATTGTTCTTTGTATTTTAATATATTTTTATTTTGTGGAACAAGAAGAATCGAATAACTAAAAAAAAAATGACGTCTTTGACAGCAGAGATCACGGCTTTGTTGCAGTTTCTTAGCTCTAACTTCGTCAAAACAAGCCGCATGGCTAGAACAATGACTGTAACCCCTATACTTACTTTTTGCCTTATGGTTCTCATTTGTTGCTGCAAAGGCTGATTTAATAGCTAAAAAGCAGGAAACCTATTTTAACAGAAATTTGCAATACTACGTTCGGGTTTTCAGCTCTTGCTCGGACAAAAAAAGCCGTAGAGCCAAAAGAACGAATGTTTTGTGTTGCTAATGACCAATACTAACTACCCCTATCACTCGATTTTCGATTTTGCGAAAGTCAATTTTGGCCCAAATTTCGCATTTTTGATAAGGGGTACCATCATCAAAATTTTAAAAATATGTCCAAAAATTAAGTTTCCCAGATTTGAATGCAAACCAATTGGGAATCATGGCAATCAAGTTACGAGCCCTACGAGGTATTACATTCCTCATTGGGACCATTTTTGGATGTGCTATGACGAAAAAACTGTTTTTTTTCCGCCCAAAATCAAGTATACGTTCTTTGAAAAAAGAGCACGGTTTTTTTTTCAGTTTCTGAGCTCTAACGTTGTCAAAACAAGCCGCACGGTTAAATCAATGACTGTTTTATGCAGCTAACTTTCGAAACTTAACACCCCTATACTTACATTTTGCGTTATTGTTCTGGTTTTTCTGTGCGAGCTCTGAATTAATGCCTAAAATATCAAAATACCTATTTCTGACAGAAATTTGCAATATTATTTTCGGTTTTTTAGCTCTTGCTCGGCCAAAACAAGCCGCAGAGCCAAAAGAGTGACTATTTTGTGCTGCTAACGACCAGCACTAAGTACCCCTACCACTCGATTTTCGATTTTGAGAAAGTCAATTTTGGCCCAAATTTCGCATTTTTGATAAGGGGTACCATCATCAAAATTTTAAAAAATGGGCAAAAAATTAAGTTTCCCAGATTTGAATGCAAACCAATTGGGAATCATGGCAATCAAGTTACGAGCCCTACGAGGTATTACATTCCTCATTTGGCCCATTTTTGGCGAAGTTATGAACTAATTACTGTAATTTTAGGGGGAAATAAGAGAAACCATAATTTTCCATTTTTTTGTAAGGGGTAACATTATCTTTATTATGGAAAAAGTTTAGTTTCCCCAAATTTACCTTATTCAAATAAAGGTTTATGTGGCGTTAAAATTTGGATTAAAAACTGTTTACCATATAAATTTTAAACGAGTTTTTGCTATTTTATAGCATTTCGTGTCCGATTAAAACCTGGAGAAATTAATTAACAATTTAATTTAGTATGACTTCATGAACTTAATTTCTTCACATGTTTCACCCACTTCCATTAGTCGTTGGTCAAGACCAAAATCGCGTATAGTATATACACTCACTCTTGGGGTATCGAGCTCAGGAGTTAAAGAGATACTTAGAAAAAAACACCGAAATTGTCTTAAACCAAATGGAAGTTAACATATGGTTGGGCTCCTATTTTTTGGACTCATGAATTCGATGGCAATTGCTGCTGTTTGCGGCGACGGGATTCTTCGAGTTTCTTCAGATATTTGGCGGCGATGGTAAGTATGGAGGGGTCTTCCATATCCGAGAATTCATCGTCGTCGTCCCTCTTCAGGGCCTTGTGATCCATACTGGGTTGTGGTGGCAGCAGCGGAGTTGGATTGTTGCTGCTAGGCGGAGGAGTCTTTACCTGGTTCTCACAATGGATTGGCATTACGGTGATTTTCTGAGCCTTGGCTCTTGGCCTCCTTACCAAGTGCTCGTCTTGTGCAAAAGTCACATGACCCTTGATTTCATCGTTATTCTTCTTGGGTCGGCGACGTTTGGTATTGAGATATTTCAAAGAACTAGATGATTCAACTTGCAAGGCTGGTCCTGGAACCTTTGAGACCTTCTCCATGTTAATCCTTTTCATTCCGGGTAAGTTACTGCCTCCCATGAGAGCCCTGTTCAAGTTCTGCTGGTCCAGCGTTTTTGAAACACTTTCTTCGACCATCTGATCGATAGTATTACTCAATTGCTGCAGTTTCTCATTCACAACCTCATTGACCGCCGTCCTGATGGCTGTGACAACATCAGACATTTCCTTGGATCGCCCATTTTCAGATTGAGAACGAGGTCTGAGTTTATCCAAGACATCCTCGGTGATCAAAGCAAAGCGCAGTTTCGTTGCCTTCGACATAGTTAGCAGAAAATCGAAATTATTTGTGCTAAAATTTTGGTTACTCAAAATTTTGGTTTTTTTGTCAATAATAAAAAAAAATTCCTCTGAACTTTTTCGTTGCTTTTTAGCTCTGATTTTTGACCTAAACAAATAAAACTGATTGTACGTAATGCCTAACTCAAGGACTACTATTTAAATTGTATGATTTTTTGTACTGTACGATAATAGCTTCAATTTGGTTTTGGAGTAGGCCGTGAGTGGTTTATTGTTTGGTTTTTCGTTTATTTGTTTGCCATGTTGACATGTGACAGGTCGAACTCTCATTGTTCAGGAGAAAAACAAAGGACGAGTGATTTCAATTAGGCGGGCTGTATAAGTCAGAGTTTCTGACCGTGTGACATTTCCACTTCCTATATTTTTTTTATATTCTTATTCGGCAAGTCCTTACGCTGACATTTCAGACCCTTTGCACTTCCTTTTGTGGGCACTTTAGGATGAGGATCTTAACATTTGCGCGATCCCTTGAACTGCGAGAATGCCAGATGTCGGGGCCGGAATGAAAAATGATAATTTCCTTTTACCTGGTCGGGATTAACGAGATTTAACCGGAAGGGTTACGCGATCCGAAGATGTCCCAATAACACGTCCCATTTCCATTCCCATTGCCAGGTAACAAAATCCCCTCGCCGAGTGCCAAATCAACCCCTTTTTGGGGGTTAGGGAAGTGCCCATTTAACCCTTTCCAGGACAATCCCAGAATAGGCAAATCCGCGAGTCATCCGGCATCCGCATTCATATACCGATCGATCCCTGGCGCGAAGATTGGATGGACGCGTTATCGTTCGACGAGCTGCACTTATCGCCCGACACTCATCGCTATCGGTGCTCCTCGATCGGATTTGCGCTTTTCAAGGTCCTCTCGGATCGGACGGACCGATCAAGTCAAGTGGTGTCGCCAGAGTACCATCAATTAGCTAATTGGCATTGTTCTCCTTCCGATCCTTGTTCCCTTTTCCATGAACCACATAAAAGATCGCAGATATGGCCTTAGATTGAGGTCTTAAGAGCTTCAAGGGGCTGGCCAGTTTTATTTGTGAATAAGATTGGGAAATCACTGATTATCTTGTGGTTTTATGCTTGAATTTTTATTAGAGATTGTTTTATGAAACTGTTTTTTGATTTACATTTCTATATGTACATATAGGGATAGGTTTTTGGTTAGTTTATAAAATTCTAAATTGGTTATATTACTTAATGACCGAGAAGAACTGACAGCTTTAAGTTCGCCTGGTTATGGTCAATTTATAGACTTTCAATGTCAAAAATTAGCCATTAGAAAAGGGGTGAAGTGGGCAGAACAGCAGCCCCCAATCTCAATTTCAGAAACTTTGGAGACCCTCGCGATTGTCTTCGCTCGCCCCTTTTTCTGTATGTTTTTCCATGTCGTCCTGTTTGATATCGCAGAGCGGCATTTATAAATGTAATTGTATAAATGCCAGAGTGAGGGATGGTGGGTGTGGGCTGTCCCATTCCAAGGACACCGGCTTCATAGGGTTGAATGGCAAATGGCCGCTTCAGGTCCGTTCGATGTCCGGGGTCCAGAAGTCTCGAGCTTTTTTGGTCGCTCTTAGCTAGCCATTAGGGGTGGACTTTTCGATTTCATTCGAAAATGAAACGCAACGCAGGACATTCAGGACCTGTTCAGAATGGTTGGCTGGCCAGAAGGGAGAGAGCGAGTTGGCGGACAAGGTGAAATATGTGCGATTTCAATCCACAAACAACTACAAAACTGGCAGCCACTTCAGCTCCGTGGGCCGTCCATCATCGGGCCACCAACACTAACGACCAGCCCGCACAATATCCTTCGAGTCCTACAAAAGGGGATGGAGGGCCAAAAATGGAGAGTTGGAGAAATTAAGAGTTCGAGTTCGAGTTCTCCAGAGTCCAGTTTAGACAGAGAAAAAAAAAAATAGGTATATCTATAAATTTATTCAAAAATTTAAATATGCTGAAAAGCATTAGAAAATGAAAGCTTAATAAAATAAATTAATTGTTGTCTAAAAATCATATAAATATTTCTTTGTTCATAAATATAAATAATATGAAGTGTAAATTTTATGTCTTCTAAAAAGTTAGTTATATTTACTAACTTAAAGCTCCTTTGAACTCTAACTAAAAAATGTCTTAATATTTCTTTCTGTGTGATTTTGGTTTTGCGTTTTAGCGCTCGAACAAAGGGGTCAATAAGGGGGGGCTTTAACGACTGTGACTGCCCCACTAGACTCTACACTCCCTTAGCCAACCATGCCACCTTCTGCCACCCCTTTTCCACCACCCCGCCCCTTCTTTTTAGCCCGTTTGTGGACTGTATTCGCATTCAACCCCCTCAGCAGATTGACTTTTATGTTGATAACTCTGATGTCGTTCCTGCTGCTGCTCGACCACCTCCCACCCCAAACGTCCAGAACCACACCCCACCTAACACCCCTCAGCCATCGGTTGCCACCCCCTTCCCCCTTTTGTTTGTATGTGTTGTACAAGTTGTCCACTACAGAAGAGAACTCGCCGTTGGCTCTCCACTCACCCCGTCAAGTGGCCATTTTGAATTTTGGCCATTTCCCTTATTGAAAACTCCTGCCCACCAACCCACTTCGGCACTCCCACGCCTCCTCTTTTTGGAAACCCCTATTTATCCACCTCTTATACCTACGCCGTATCCTCCTTTTGCTTGTTGCCACTTCATTGATTGAGGCAACTTTGGGGGCGACTTTAAACCATGTCATTCCGCTGACCATCTTCAGTAGTGTAATACACCGAGGAAAAACACATTGATAGATAAACTATTTTAAATGACCTTAAATTGACCTTATAGATGAACATATCAATACATACATAAGGTGTATTAATAACTCACATAACATCGTTATGGTCACTTCTTAAATCCCCATGAATCGTAACATATTCTTCGCTGCTATTTAAGTTGCTTATCAGGTGTGGGTGGCAAATCCGTAAATTAGTTGCCTCCCCCCAATAATACGGGTCTAAGCTGGCTCTCTCTTCGCCTTACATACGTCTCTATTCTTTGGTCCGGACGGCGGACTGCGGACGGCGGACTCCGGACTCCGGACTCCGGACTCCGGACTACAGACTGCGAACTGTGGACTCCGGTTTTATCCCATCGACTTGACGATGTTTTTATGATGCCCAAGACAGGAGCTCGTGCTCGTTGTTCGCCTGGCCGTATTAAGACAAAAGGTTAAATTTAAATTTGAAATGATGAAGGGGTTGCTTCTCGAAGGGGTCTCAAAAGAAGAGGCTGCTTGGGTGATTGAGGGGGGGGTGTATGGCTTGCCAGGTTCGAGCATCACGTCCACATTTGCTGGCTGCGTGCTCCAAGCACCCTGGCCATACATTGCAATATGGCTGCCCCTTTGGCTTACCAAAAGCCCCCTTGTTTCCCTACCCATGACCCCTGACCCCTGACCCCTTAGATCCCCCATACTCTGTGCAAGGGAAACGAAGCTGCGGAGCATATTGTTGCCTCAGAATTGGATTGTTGGGTTAGGTGTAAGGTGTGGCAGATGGTGTGGATTTTCCTCTGACCGTGTGTGTCTGTGTATTTTGGCCAAAAAGCAGAGGCAACCCGAAGACCTTTGGCTCAATTCTTCTTCTTCTTTTACCCCTCCCTTAAAAACCATCTGTGTGGGTGGCAAGTTGGTGAGTGGTTCGATGGCAAAAAGGAGCGAAAGAAACTTCCAGCCAAAGGCTGCAGACGTGGGCAGGATAACTCGATGGGTGAAGGCAGGACGACAGGGGCGTAGGCAACATTGGATTTAAGTTCTGTAAAAATATTTTATATAAAAATTAAAAGAGTTTAGTATATAAACTAAACGATTAGCAAAAAGGCATTATATATCACTTGGATTTCTTAAAGTAAACCCCCTTTGAAAAAGCTCCATGTACACCCCATGAAAACCGGGTGTAGGTGGATTCGTAGTATGCTAATGGACATTCGAGATTTTGGTTTTGGGTATTTTGAGCAGTTCAGCTCCTGTTTAGTCGGTCTTCGGACGAGCTCGGGGAAAAGCCGATAAGTACGCTTTATGCCCTTAGAATGCTACGTGTGCGACTTGCTGAAAGAGGGTCGGGGAGGATGGCGGGATACCAAGAAGGGGTTTTCCGAAAGGGGTTTGCCAACTGGACTGGGCTCATAATACTCATTTTGTGATTGTGTGATGATGGATGGGACATGTGCCGGTGGGCGGGGTGGTACTTTTTGGTCCTATGGTCCTATGGTCCTGCCCAGAATGCCGATGGCTAAATGGATGAATGGCCAAAAAGGACACAGAATAGAGAATGGGCCAAGACTGGGAGGCCAAGGGCCAGTTGCATTTGTCCTTGTGCTATTGAGCGTAAGCTAACCTGTTCGCTGGAGTGTGCCGGAAAAAGGATTCGAACGATTTAGCATTCGGAATAAGTTGCCCCGGATCTTGGGGCGAAAAGGATCCCCGGATCCTTCTGGCATCTGTTTGTTTGCATTCCACTCACCTGATATCCCACACCATATTCGTGGGGACGACCATTAGATCCATGAAATATGCATGCTGGATAAACATAATTCGGGGCATGCGAGTAAATACTTTTGTCAAGATTTGACCATGATTGAGTGCGACTTTTTGGGGATACTACATACAGGTCTTGCGTTGAGGTTAACTAGCCATAATTTATACGCTCGATTGGATTTCACATTTGTATTTCCATTATTGGGAATGGGGAAGGCTTTGGGTATTTGGGAATCGAGCATTTGAATATTAAATAGGGCGGAGTGTTGAGTGATTTATTTTTGGGGTAATCGCTGGTAATGTATAGTGTGGTCAAGAATTTGATTTGATAAATGTCTAATTGCATTTAATAATAATGCTATGATGATAATCTGTGTTCTTAATTAAATATTTGTGTGACTGCCTCTAAAAATGACCCCCATTTACAGATTTTTCCTTTTTGAAAAATAGCTTTTCCCTCTCATAAACTTTTACTATTTGGCTCAACTAATAAGGTGAATTGCAAATCCCCCTTTCCCAACTAAAAGCCTGTCCAACCATTTGGGAAAACTAAACGTTTGCATTTCGCAGACAATTTCAAAATAATTGGGCCACAAAAAGTCTA